GTATAGATAGATAGATACATACACACACAGACGTATAGATAGATAGATACAGACACACACAGACGTATAGATATATAGATACAGACACACACAGATGTATAGATAGATAGATACAGACACACACAGACATATAGATAGATACATACAGACACACACAGATGTATAGATAGATAGATACAGACACACACAGATGTATAGATAGATAGATACAGACACACACAGATGTATAGATAGATAGATACAGACACACAAAGATGTATAGATAGATAGATACACACAGATACATAGATATGTGCTTTTAATCAATGTTTTTCAGTAAAATCCACCCAAAGGTGTGTTCGTAAATGGACATAAAAGGTGCTGAGCCAAACTAAAAAAAAAAAGAAAAAATTGCCCATTGGCCCAAAACAACGCCAATTTCTGCGATTTCATTATTTTTACGAGCTGCTGACTTCACTACCATGCCTCAAAATATACAGTTGAATCCTCCTTAACGGAAATCTACAGGACCGCCAGATTTCCTTCAGTTTAGAGAGGTTACTCAAAAAAAGAAAGAAAGAAAGAAAGAAAATTGGAGTATTTTATTTTAATTCAGTTCTAACACTGATTTTGGATTCAATGTCTTCAGTTTGCGCAACCTTCACTGTAACTATATTTAGTAATATGACTCACATCCTTGGCCTGGTCCTCGTCGCTGTCCACTTCCTGCTCGTAGGAGTCCACGGCGTCCTTGACCAGCCCGACGTCCGAGGACAGCTCCTGGGCCTCCTGCTTCAGCGTGCTGGCGTCGATCTTGGTCTCCGCCGCCTCCTGTCTGATGGTGCCCGCCTCCTAAACGACAAACACACAAACAAATGAATAAACAAACAAATAGACACATTACACTGTTGTACTCATATCGTCAGTATTCACACCACCACCATCATATCACAATCATCGTCACTGATGCTGCCTGCCTCCTAAACGACAAAAAAAACGAATAAACAAACAGACAAACATAACATATTACATTGTTGTACTCGTATCCAGGGATACCACTGGACTTTTGTAAAAATAACAGAAAATTTTTCGAGACTAGATTAAGCATGCTTTTTGTGTGTTTTAGTAGTGTTTTACGGCACTTGCAACTCAATAAAGTCATATAAGTGCTAAAGATTAGAGGTGTTACAAGAGAGGTTTTTAACAAATGTTTTAGTACGAATTTTATGGCACTTGCAACACAATGAGGCTATGTAAGTGCCGAAGATTAGAGGTGTAAGAAGAGAGTAACAAACACAAAAAAGAACGAGGAGAGATCAGGATGATAGATGTTTGATAGTAGGAAAGGAGGAGCAAACCACACCAGAGCACCCACCCGCCAACCACCCACTAAACGTTGTTGTACTTGGACCGGACAAACAAACAACACATCACACTGTTGTACTCATATCATCAGTTTTTCCACCACCACCACCACCATCAATGTGTTATCGACTATTTACGAAGTAGCCTGCTTGAATCTCGCCTGCCAGTGCTGAGTTCACACCCAGCAGAGACAGAAGAAGAGCCCGTTACAAATTTAAATAATTTCCCGATGAGAGAATCACAACTGCGTTTTTCTGCCACCCCCATCCCTGCCAACACCCACACCATCCTCCTCCCCATCCCCCAACACACACACACACAACTGTCACCTTTTTCACCAGACCTTGTACGCGTCTTTCATCAGCCTCCCACCCACACTCCATACCACCCACACACTCACATTAACACATGCC